AGAATATACCTTCTTCTCATTTTCTCAACTAGACATGTAATTATTGCACATGTATGCACAATATACCGCAGTTCATAAAGTGAATTTATCAAGAGGGACTTCTCGTGCAGCTTGGGCGTGGTACCGCATGGGCGGCGACAGGCGGCTGAAGAAGCAATCTTTTTAAAGCCGAGGCCGCCGCCTGCGAGGAAGGGGTTTAGCTCCGTCTCCCGGGCAAGGGCGGCACATCGGGGCATGGCTCTCTTCAGGTCCTCAGAGCGAGTTGGAGAATCGTCGATTATGTCGCGGACTATTTCGTAAAACGCCGGGGGCGGATTCCGAACGAGGTGGCGGTATTGTGTGGATGAGTCGGTGATGCGTGAATCACATCGGCAGGTTTTGGTAGTTGCACAGAGGTAGTGCGGTCATAATACCGCTGGAGACTGTCACGTCTTTCTGCTCGACCACCTCGACGGTCAGCAGTGTGGTAACAAACAACAAACGAGTGAATTTGTGCAATATCGACGAGAGAGAATGCTGCTCCAAAAATGAGTAGAAGAGTCAGTGTTGCCGTTCCGGAATGGCACTCGAGGTCTTGAGGTCTTGGCTTCAATCCGCAGTGGGGTCCGATGTTGGTAGTTTAAGGGGCGCGTTGGTCCGCACCTGAGCAATCGGCGGTCACCATAGTAATAATAATAGTAGTAGTAGTAGTAGTACCAGCACCACTACTTTTGATACTACTACTACTACTTCTACTACTACCACCACTGATAATAGCAATGATAATTATAGTAATAATAATGATGATGATAATAATGAAAAAGATAATCATAGTGATAATAATAATGATGATGATGACGATAATAACACCCAATAACGATAACAATAAAAATAAATCATACCAACAATGACCGTAGTGATTTTCTTTATAAAACCCACCTTTCTGATAGCCCTGATGGCTCCCTTGTGTTGATTCGTTAACTGCAGGACCCGCGGTTGTTCGTCGTCCTCATCTACTGGAGAAATAAACATTATCAGAGGTTTTACACATACTATAGACAATCCAGCTTCATGCAGACATATCAGTATGCATTTGGTACACATTCGATATGCCCTTTTTACTGCTACTGTCGTGGCAGTGCCTTGTAAAGAGAGTTGAGACTTTTGAAGGAGTGAAATGAATGTATCTTGTTATATTGCTTAGTAAGAAAGATATGGATAAAAAAAGACTGGTAAAGCTATGTACATAGTTTACTTGTCATAAGTGTTGGCTTTGTAGAAGTGTTGCCGTGAGATTTGTCTATAAATTAATTATTTTAAAGTATTTACACCGTGATTTCAAAGAAAGGAAAAAAAAAAGTTGAGTATTTACTTGTGCATAGCAAACTATAATTCCATACGAAGAATGACTTTCTCTTTTATAATAAATTACCAAAAAAGGAAAAGAAGCAATTTTTACTATATATTTAAAAAAGGAAAATCATGAACAAAAAGGACAATGCAAGAAATACAGCATTTGAAAGCATAAATAACACCAATAAATTTTGTGCGCATTCACCACATTTGGTTTAAAAGCATAAATATAAAATAGGGAATTTTTAGTATCTGTGTTCTAAACTATCAATATAAGATGGTTGTAGGATAGATGTGCATGTTCTATGTATCAAATAACACAAAATATGTCAAAAAGTCTTCAATGTTATGGTATACGCTTACATTTCAAGGAACAATAAAATGCCACTTCATGTGATATAAAATCAATTACTAAGCGTCTATCATAATAACAATTCTCAAGCAAACTATCATAGGCTTCTTTATGATCTAATACATATACAATATATTTCCTCTGATACCTTACTCTAAGGACATTACTTGTGAGGTATTCTTCATGTCAGGATTCGGTGCTGTTGGAAGCTACACGTGTGAGCAACATTGCAATCATATCAATACATTCTATGCCAACAAGATACTGGTATGCAATACTGGTACGATGCACTGATTTGCATATCACATTTCGTGGTGTTAGTATCTTACAGTTTTTTTTTGGTGTGATTTTAGACAGGTGCTTTCCTCTCCATTCTCTATTTGGTGCTTCGCTATAGTCTTAAGAAAAGTGATAATTGTATCAAAGGCCAGGCTCTTTTTCGGACATTTCTTATACCTTGGCCCTCCAAAAAAGAATAAAAAAAATCACGGAGAAAAACAAGATTGTAGTACTTCCTACATCCTAATTTAGACACAGATACACTGATGCGGGTTTGAGGTGCTTCATACTTGCTGAGTGCGGTGCTTCATGACATCAACAGTACACTACATCCATACTGTGACTGCGATAGTACGAAAGATCTTGTCATCAGCATCTTTCAGAATCATTTTCCCCTTGTAGCCAACACATTCATCTAATTCGTGAGGCTGTGCTCTATGATTTAAAAAAGCCATAAGCTAGCATTATGGCCACAGTTCCACGGGCATGGCAGTATGTATATATATATATTTATATATATATATAGGAGGTGGCTTG